CCGCTGTCCAAGTGTTGTGACAAAGCCACACAGTAGGGATTGGGATGTTCAGTGGCAGTGCATTCTTGGGCTTACATCAATCCTGCTTTGAGCTGTAATGATCTGTGTGACCACATGAGTATGTAGGGACTGAAATGTGGTTATGCAACGCTGCTGCCTGCACAAGTGTCATTTTGAACTTCTCTCATACAGAAAAAGACACACAGTGTTGATTAGCATGAAAACACAAAGCTGTCTACCCCAGTATGTTCACCCCTTACCAGCCAGCTTAAAATAGTTTTCGTGCGATTGAGGGGATATTTGAATTACAGTAGCTTATGCTCTAATTACCAGCGTTTTTCAATTGCAATTGTTTATTTCTTGTGAAATTTTAAAATAATTTACCAAGCTGGGACAATTGTTTCTCTAGTGTGTGTTTCAATCTTTTGTGGATTATGGTAGTAATGTTCTTTTGAACATGCATTAACATGCATCATTCTTAAATGTGCTCTTTCTAAACCAAAAAAATCTAAAACATCTCAAATTCAAATAATGCAGCAAAGGTACTCATGTCTTATATGAACAGACCTAGAGTAAGCTACAACTTTGACATCAATTTTTTTTATGCTGAGATACACAGTTTGCATCCTATGGGGATAGAATACGTTTTCCCTTAATATAAATTTGTACCCCTAGATGAGATATGAGTCACTGATGTGTCAAGTGTGCCCTGGAGCAAACCAAAAAAGACTAGAGTCAGTAGCTGGCACTAGCAGCAGCAAACAATCAAATTGGGGCTAAACATATCACAGAGATGAGTCAAAGTTAGTGAAAAGAGCAGTAATTACAACAATGGCAGTCAATCCCGCCAAACGAATATCACCTTCTCCACCTCCTACAAAGGCTCTGCGTTCCTCCAGCATGAAATGACAAAGAAACTACAAAAAACAGTGTAAATATTGGTGTTGATTTCTTTGCTGGAGACGGCTTTTTGGCAGTAAATTCTTTTGACAAATAGCTTGGAAATTTCGTTCCAACGGAAATAAATTGTCTATGCACACACACCAATGCAGTAGTGATCTCTCTCTGTTTGGCAAATAACCATAGAAGAAGAATCCATAGTTTATTACTTTTTTTTTAGACAAGGGGGGGATTTTACTTCAGTCTCATAAAAGTGTTAATCTTTCCTACAATGTTTTTGCAAATAGAACATGGACTCATGGTATCCTGCAAACCACTCATTTTTAAAGGCTGCAGTGTTGTTGTGACAGCCTGCACAGCTCAGCCCACATTAGCTCTGGGAACATCGGACACAGGGCATGCTTACCAGTAGCTGGTAATCTGCTTTTTTTCTTGTTATTTCATGTTTTTTCTGTTAAAATATCAGGAGCCATCGGTGAATCGACAGGATTGTCAAGAGAGTTGATTAAATAGAGGGTTACTTTGCAACTTTCACCATTCAACAAGATAGAAAGGAAAAAACAAAAACAAAAGCAAAAAACTCTGCTCCTTTGTGGTGAGTTTTTGACAACCAAATCTAAAGAAAAAGAAAAATCCATGTTTGAAGGTCGATTAACGGCCCGCGACAATATGAAACAACAAAAGCACGTTTTTATTTCTTTATGTCAACAAAAGATACAATAATAATCCAATTACAGGCAAATCTGCACCCCGAGGTGAGACAGTGTATCCTCTGATAAAGGGAGAAACAAGCACCAAAGCTTGAAGTTAAGTTGTTTTTTAAAGTCTTTCCATGGCAGCTAAGGCAAGCGTAGAATGCAAAACAACCCCTATCAGTTGTGTCCTCGGAGCAGTTGCTTAAGCGCTGTCTGTGTGTTCAGAATCTTAAAGGCAAGAACCCACATGGACACTATTGAATGCTGCTCGGGAGGTCAGAAAGGAAGTAGCACTCAAATGGAGGAAGACAGAAACAACGGTGGTCGTGCAAGTAAAATGACCTAATCCACTCAGTTTTGAATATAAAGGAGGCATCTCAAGTTTGTTTTTTCTTCTTTTTGTTTTGGCACGCTTTACAGGTATTGGATTACATTTCGGGTAAAATGTGACAACTGGATTTGTCTCTTTATACAATAAACTAAATTTAAGAATTGCTCAGACAGGCATTAGTATCTCTATCTTGAGATAACTTAAGAAATGTTGATGCAAGCTCACAGGCCACATTCAGACTGTGCTGGATTAGCCTCCAGGCAGAGAAAAGCAAACGAATTGAAATGCAAATAAGACAGGGATTACTGAGAGAGCATTCACTTGACAAGTAACTCCTGTATTAACTGGTGAAATACCAGTTACATTTGAGGAAAAGATGTCTAAGCCTAATAATAATTTCCATTTTACTTAACATTGCATTTTGTTCAATTATGAGTTAAATTGGTGGAAAAATAGGACAATGTTTAGCACCTCATTTTGACCATTACTAATGTGCTAAATAAAAACAAAGCGTCTCATTTAAGATAATTGTTTCCATCCCTCCGCACCTTAATAAACCCCTGCTCTGCTGCGGTCCCTTTTCCATTAGTCCGTGGCTCATTAGCATCATCCTGAAAACAAGGTAAATTTTGTCCCGACCCAGATAAGGGGTTTAGTTGACTATTCATTGAGTTGCATTGGGATCAGAATGAAATGGCACTAAATGAGAAATTAAATCATCTCAACTTCAAAAGCGTGCTTCCTGCACAGCCAGAAGTGTGAAATCCGTGGCTGCAGGGATGGCACTGACTTGAAAGTGCCCAAATAGGAATTCTCTTTTGTAGTTTCTCAGATCTGTGAAGAATATAGGAACAGGTTTTCCTCAGTTTTCAACCCTATCAAAATGTGGGGGGAGTGTACTTTTTTTGCCTTTGACAGTGTTTGTGTTTTGACTTTTGCATAACGAATCAATCACGTTGAGAAATAGAATCTATTGTGTAACACTAATTAAATGTGAAACAAATTTTCCGTAAGTGTATTACTATAACCTGAACTGTGTCTTGTGCTGATTATCTGTGTGATACATATCTCAAGTTTAATGAACACTTCCATGTGACATGTGGCTTTATGCGGTCTGCCAGGAGAAGTTCCACGGGTGAAGAATGCCCCCTGCTGGCAGGTTTAAAGCACAGCACATCAACCTCTGTCCCCTTTTTCTCCCCCTCCAGATAGCACAGCCTCCTCCTCAGCGTCTCCAGGAGATCATCAAGCTCGCCCACAACTGAAGAGATGTAGAAGATAGATTTTGTTATTTTTCTTACCCAGCCTATCTGTTTCTCTCCCTTGGATTTCTCTCTATCTTTTACAGTAAGTCTTCTATCTCACCGGGAGGAGACCTAAAGTGAGGAAATAAATTCATTTTTTCCATCTTCAGAAAATAAGGAGACTCCAGGTGCAGATGAGATGCACACAATATCCAGCAGTGGGAACTGGGCCTGTTCAGTGCAGGGTTAGGAGTCATAGGAGCATTCTGACTGTTTATTAAAGATGTTCATTGTATCTGAGTTACTGCTGTTGAACCTATTCTCCAAGCAGGCTGTTCTTCTACGTTCTTTAAACAACCTCTCTGAGGAGGATGCCTTGAAGCTACTACAGTATAAGGAACAATGGCAACAGTCAAGAAGATGGAGGAGACACATTTTAAGAAGAAACTGCACCTGTGCTTAGCGGGGGATTCATCACAGCTTTTCAAGATCCACAGATGTTGGTGCACCTGCAAATGATAGTGGGGGGGGGGACTGAAACGGTAAATGATCCCTTTATTTCTGCTGCTTCTTTTGTCAGATGTGAATAATCTGAATTGGCACAACAGTGTGTGCGTGCACGTGTGTGTCGACGGGTGGGAGGTCTGACCTTGGACATTGCTTTCGGAATTGGTGCCGTCAAAACACACTCACACAATAACAAAAAGCAAATGAGCCGAGACGGGCCGCTCTCTGCAGTGCAAACACGTCTATCCAACCAAAAAAGAAGTCCAACAAAGTACTGCAGAAAACTGGTCCTTTTAATTAGCTTTCTCTGATCAGCCAGGCCTGTAACCTCCAAATCAAAGTTATCAGCCAACAGCGTAGAGCAGTCGACATGGCTGCGTTTCAGAAGATCATTTCTATTTTAGCAAGAAAGGATGAATTTCCCAGGGTCAGAGAGGTGACCGGTTTTTCATTTGGCTAGCTAAGACTACTTCAGCAGTGTTGACAGCTCAGCCTGACTTATAACATAAATCCAATCTTAAGCGACTACTGAAAGTGACAAAGTTTTATGCCGAATATAATCCTGTATTTGGTTATTTTATTTGGTATTTGTATGTAGAAGTGTACATATAGGGTTCAGAGATTTGATCATATTCATAGACTTTGTCATAATAAATGTATATATATATATATATATATATATATATATATAGAAAGAGAGAGAATAAATTATTGTACCAAAGAAAAAAGTTTGTTATTGAGCAGGTAGGACTGAAAAGAGGCTGAGAATTTCTCAAATTAAGCTTGTTGGAGTTACTACAAATGTTTAAATTTGACAGGGTTCTACTTTCAGCTAAACAAAGTATTTATAAGTATATTTATAAATGTTAAGTATACTTTAACAAAGTATTTAGCGTGTCAGATTCAAAGCCACTGAACTCAGATACTTGTTTGTAACTGTGTAAAAATGTTCAGTGTGTCTTTTAAAACACGAGATAAAGATCTGAATTTAAATATGGAGCTTGTTTTTTTTTTTTTTGTCCCTAACGTAAAGCCAGACTAAGACCTCAATTAAGATCTCCCACGGGCTTTAGAAAAATAACAAAAATCTAAACTTTTTGGAAGTCTCAAATGATAAATATATAAGTCACTATACTTTATCAATGTTCACATAAATATTACATAAAAGGTTCAGCCATTTAGATAACTACTTTGCTTGAAATAGGAACAGGAAAAGAACATCTAGGTGTTCTGTACCTGGAAACCATCAAACCTATGTTAAAAATTCAAATGTATGACTAAATCAAAACGTGTAGTGCTTCATGCAAGTATTGACCAGAACAGTAAAGTATTAAAAAAATTTATTTTCACATTTTGAAAATAACATTATAGATTTTACAACTAAACATGTGCAAAGCAAGTGTGTTGGAGGGAGACTAAAACATCTGCCTCGTAAAATTTCCGTTCAGTATTTTGAAGCCAACATGTGACCCGTCAGTGTTTCCTGTCACTGCAGACTGTCGTAGATCTTGCAGTGGAGATACGCCAGCTTCTCCGCCCTGCTTTTCCTCAGCATCGGGGACCACACCTGGTGGCTCAGCTCTACAACCCTGAAACCCGCCATCTTTAAATGCCGCCTCTTCATGGCATGAAGTCCAAGCAGCTGCTGCGACGGGGAGCAGTAGTGGTTTCTGCCCGGGACCTGAATGGCCACTTTGACGGAGCCCTTAGAGTCCTGTTGAGTTGAGTCTTGGGTCACGGGTTTGGCAAGAGTCTCTATAAGATCGCTGGTTAAGTCGAGCACGGAGTCAAACAGCCTTCCACCTTCATCAGGAGGTAATCTGTGGAGGGATTTGGGTTTAGCAGCAGAGGATGGAGCAGTGCTGCTTTTGGTATTCATTAGCTGTGCTAACAGTTCATCTGTAATTGTCACTCCCGTACTTAAATTCTCCCAGCCTTGAAGAGGAGGAGATGTGGATGAGCTCTGTTCCGTAGGTGGTGGGTTCACAGGTATGGGCTGTCCATTGGAATCCAAATGTATTTCGAGGTCGATGGAGCGCGTGTGAGGCAGAATCATTCTCTTGCACACAAACCTCTCTCCTCCCAGCAGGTCTTGCAGAGCAGATTCTGCCTCGGTGACATCTGCTCTTTGACACACGTCCGACTGTGCAAATTTCCACAGCATATCTGCCGCCTCTTCCCTCATTTCACAGCTTAACCGTGGGCCTTCCCACTGAGGCAACTCCAGAGCCACAGCTCCATCTAAAGTGAACAAGTCTTTTTTCAGCTCCATCTGTGTGTTTTTCAGAGCCAGGTTGACAAAGTCAGGACTCAAGGCTAATGAAACAAGGTCCTGTGGGAACTGAGAAACGAAGGCTAAACCTAAGAGGCCAGTAAGCAGGTGCTCTGGGTACTGCTGGAATTCTCCTTTTCTCTGCCTAAGGGCTTCTGTAAGACTTGAATAGAAACTTGGACTCTGAACAGGGAGAAACCTTAGGGTGCCAAAGGCCCAGAGGAGTTTGCTTGAATCTTTACTCCGGCAGTGTGGCACTAGTGAGGGAATTCTCTCAGCGACAGCGGTGAGAATGGAATCGTTACGGTAATGAAGAGCTGAACAACTCAGGGCCACATGCATCAGCCCTTTGACACCCATCCTGTGGGCCCGCTGAGGAACTTCCTGGGCCATGGCCTCCAGCCACTGCCTATGAAAAAGATAACTGAAACGCAGGTATTTCAGCACATTCACCATAGCAAAGTCACTCATCTCTTTCACAAGCGAGAGTGCCCTGTCAACAATACGAGGCACTGCAACCTCAGGTATTGACGTTTGGGATTTAAAGAGCCCCAGACAAACAGTGCCAACCTCCTCAGGGTGCAGCTGCTGTAAATGACGCATGAGAAGTTGCACCAGAGGATGGATGAAGTCTTTTGGGCAGTGCCTACCCTCTCCTATTATATAGAGCAGCTGCACCAGCTCAGGGACTCCCACTTGATCCATATGCAGGTGGAATACATCATAGACACACTTTAAGAACTGTGGCACCTGCTTTCCGATACAGCGCCACAAGTCAGCCGCGAACAGCAGCTGATCTAAGCTCATCTGGTCGGCCCGGCGACACAGCTCAGCCTCGTACACGTCGAGCACGGTGTGAGAAGACGGCATCTGCAGCCAGACAAACGACCGCAGCACGTCCAATAACTGAGGCTGAGAAAAGACGCGGATGTGCTCCACAGAACATCGGAGGAGCATGGTGAAGCGTTGGTCGCTTCTCACCAGGGACATCTTGTCTGAGTGCAACCTGCTGAGTTCCACAAAAAACTGTGACACATCGTGTGGCTTCATTCTGCCCTTTAAAACCGTTATCTTTTGAAGAATTGGCAACACCTCCATCCATTCAATTGATTGAGGATGTTGGGTGAGGTCAAGTGTCATAGAGGCGTACTCTGGCCGGCATTTATGGAAAGCACGAGAGTCTACTTTAACATCTGGTGCTATAGGCTTCCTCTGCTGCGATTGCTCAGGTTCAGGGACTTTACTGAAAGCCAAGTCAAGTAGTGTGTTCTTTGTGCTTGAAAGATGCCTCGAGCAACTAACACTGTAGCGATTGCCCAGTTGCCAGAGGGATGGTGCTTGGGCAGATAGATAGTGTTCATCTTCATCATGATCTATTTGGTTGGGAGAGTTTGTGGGGGTTCTTACAGATTGTGGATAAGATGAAGGGCTGTAATGCAGCTTGTACTCTCCGTGGGGAGCGACTTTCTGGTGTGACAACACTCCTTTCTTGTCCTCCTGATCATCAGCCTCGTCTTCCAGTTTAACATACATCTGTTGAGCCTGCGCAGAACCCTTTCTCCAGCCTGGGAGGTAGAGCAGCCTGGGAACCCGGCGACACAGCACACAGGCCGCCATCAGGGGCTGGACAGAGAAGATGGAACAGCAGACAGGATTTTATCAAATATACGTGCTACTCCAAACAAACCAAATTGCAACACAAGGCAACGCTTTTGATAATATTTACCAAGCACAGTCTAAAATCAGTTGATATTTATGTTGATAAAACCAATAGTTGTTGACAAAATTAACAGAGAGCACTACCCATGCAGTATCAAGCAATGGAATCCTCATTGGTAAAGAGAATGAATAAGAAAATGTTATTTTTCACTAACTGAATAATATAAATCAATACTAAATAAAATTGCAGTGAAAATCCTACGGTTAAAAACAATTTAGTTGGTACAGGTACAAAGAAATAGTTGTTGATTTGACCCACCACATAAACGTTGGACTGATAGTGCTTCATGACAATGCATGCGCTCAGACACAGACATTTTTACGCCCTGACACTGTCACACATTCTTAAGTTAGTATTAGAATAAATTGTTTACTGTCAATGTCAAGTCATTTGTATATAAACACTGAGCTTGAATACACATTGCAAAACGGTGGTTTAGGCTAGCAGAAGTTAAGGCAAACTTCTAGTAGCCTTCCCGCTTACGTCGAACAACTACGACGGATGTGGGCATAAACGAATATACTACTATCTGTTTGTATTTATATGTCTGTTACACTCACCTTTTACCCTCCTGCACTGACCTAGATACACAGTTTAACCTCATGTAAGTGTGCAAGCTGGATCATGATGAAAGGGGAGTTGTGACCAAACCGGAACTCGCATAAAAGTAATTTCAAACTATCATGAAAATGATGTTTAAAACACATGAAGAAATTGCTCTTAAGTGTCGGATCCTAAATAAATATCCGAAATATTCGATTTATTCTGAAACTTAATATATTGTGAATTGAATGACAGTTTCAAAAATTTATATTTATGATGTCGGACATAGTTAGTGGTAAAACATTGTTTTGATGGGATTGAGCTTCCGGGGAGGGAATAGCATTTGACCTATGGTAGCTGATTAGGTTCAAATAGAACGAAAACGAAACGCAAATTCTTGCCAAAAGGAAAGAATAGTAAAAAAAATAAAAGAAAATAACAATAGAAACAAAGAGAAATGTTATTTTAAATACAAGGCATCTTATTCAATAATGATTTTTAAAAAAGTAATGTTTGATGCTAAAATAAGAATGCCCCAATGGACCTGTATCCATTAAGACAATAATGTACAGTACAAGATTAGGAAACTCAATTCATTCTTTGAATTATGGTTCAATATGTGATTGCATGATATTAAAAAAATGTGAATTGAAAAATGTGTCCATGATTTCATTATAAACTCTGGGTTTGGTTTTTAACTGTATGAAACTCTGCTATTTCTTTCTGACAAAACATAATGCCGTTTCACTATTCAATGAAGCCTGCCGCCTTACACTTATAGTATTCAGATTAACTTAAATTTAACTTCATTATTTTCGCAAAATTTAAATGTATTCTTAATTAACATGATTAAAACTCAAAGTTTTGGGAATGGTATAACTTGGCTTTAAGAACACATTTAATTTCATAAATAAAATCATTACCTAAATCTATTTTGTGTTCCATTGGGTTTCACTTTAAATGTACCAACTCATTCCACTAAAACCGCCTGAATTATAGCTGCATTTCATCACATCTTTACTATAATTTTTAAATCTATGTATATGGAAAAAGATATGCATATAGTTTAGAGTTATTCATTCCATGGTCATTTTCTTTTCATACTTTCTCATAGGTCAGACAAGACATTTGAATAAAACAAGAATTTTAGCATTATAACTGTCTCTTTGTTGTCTCTTTGTTCTCCTTTTACTGCTGTAGACTGAGTTATCTGGAAGCAAAACAAAAGATTGTAGAAAAAGATATCCAAGTAAAGTCAATCAGTTTAAATGGAATAGTTTGTTGTTAATTGTTTTGGCCTTGAAAAGAAATCCATGAAAAACAATTCAAAATACACCATCAGCATATTTTACGCTCGTTTCAGCACTGTGTTGATCATATGTACAACATGACTTAAGGTACAGACAGAAATGTCAAACTTTCATAGTGGATGAGGTATGATATGACATTCCACACCTCTGTTATAAAGTAGAAAATTGTATTAAAACCACACTAGGCCTGAGAATCTTAGAAATGTTATTTTGTGTTTCAAACATATTTCCCACCAATATAATCTATCTTTTCTTTAAACATCTTTAATTCCGCAGATGTAATATTTATTATATAAATATTAATGTTTTACTGTGAAATGTACAAAAGAATGCGAAAATCTGATGTAGCACATTTATTATCTTTTGTATGTATAATTGATTAACTGAATAAATCTCTCTAATAAATTATATATTGATTTAATCTGTGTTCTAATATTTAATGTGTTAATGTGATTTGCTTAAATTAATTGTATTGCTGTTTTTCCACTAACTTATATTACAATTGTTTTTAGAGTGAATTGTATTTAAAATCTAATTTGTCAAATTGTAAACTATATATTTATTTTCTATTAAAACTACTTAGAGACTACTTTTTTTGTGCTGTATAATGTACTGATTACGAGTGACTACTACTACCAACCGATCTCCTTTTGAGCATCTACATACTTTGAAAAAAATAAAGAACTATATTTTGATTTCTTATTACAAATATGTTACTCTGAACAATTAGGGGGTAAATGAAAAACACTGTTCTAATATGTGTTTACCTAGACTTTCATCATCATCCCATGCTTTCCTGATCATGCATGAAACCTACAACATATCAGGACACATAACATTATGGACCGGTTTATTAGATTTGGTCATGCGTAATTGCAAATGAGCTTCCTGTTTATTCTGTTTGCCAAGAGCATGAAGTGGTCAAACTTCGGAGAGGAAGTAGCTGATTTATGCTAATGAAGGACTGGAGGTTTAGCTACGCTGGTTGGGATCCGCCCTTCATTCACCACATGGTTAAACCCAGGCTGTTGTCGCGCCACTTTCGCAATCTTACTACGTTTCATAAACTCCTCGCAAATCAAAATAGTAGCACATGGTGGTTTACTTAGTTTTATAACTAGAGTTTTTTCTTTTACTTCTCAGTTTTGCAGATGCCCAAGAAACTGTGAGTAAACGGTAAGTGTGAACAAGTGAGTGAAGATGGTGGATTTGTAGAAGCTGGTGTCTTTTACCACGCGTGTTATTGGCAAGAGACCTGTTGTTAGCCTTTTCGAGTGATGCGTCAGAAAAGTGAAACGCTTTAAATTGTGTGCTGCTCTTAGCAAGTGTTAGCTTTTTGTATAAACGAAACGCTTTTTATCGCCACATTTGGCATTTGAAAACAGTCGTGTAGAAGTGCATGGCAACCTCTCCTCCATGGTTGTAGAATGAGGGAGATTTGAAAAGCATGTGTTGGTGTTGCACCTCAAGCCGTGACGCCGGAGAAGTGAATCGCACTCTCGAAAATGCTGTATTTCAAACTTCAGCAGCAGCCACTAGCTGTTGACTGTTGTGCTTAACCAGTTTACGATGCGTTCATGTAAATCCACGTTATCCGTCTGTTAATGGGCTGTGGTGTACATTTAAAAGTGCCTCCAGAACAAAGCAGCAGCACATGGGATTGCACCAGGCCGCGCGCCTTTGCTATCCCGCGAGCAGCCAAGTTAGCTGCTAACGCTAGCACACAGAGTCGTTTGTGCCAAAATACATCTTTGACGTTACTTCAGTTGGCTCGTATATGTGTTTTGAGTTTCGTGTGGCTAGAAACACCCACTGGTAATAATGTGAATATCAATTTCAGCAACCTGACGATTCCATAATGTGAGCTAACTTGGCTAACACAAGAAAACACAATGCCCAGAAGTGGGCGCATAAGGAAAGCTGACGAACACTATCAGCTCAATTCTAGCGCCCTTTTAGATAGTAGGTTGGGGATTTGTAACCCTGGCATATATCAGATAATTTATTTTTCTGGAAGCTAATTTTAATAGCGTGCACTATCCGAATCTTTTAGTTGTTTGGTGGAGCTCGGACGCCACTAGCTTGTTGTGTGCCGGACTGTTAAGTTTGCCGCTGGTTCGGATGGTGCTCAATTTGCAACGAGACGTTCCAAACACACACACATTACACGCGTTTTGGTTTGTTTGTTTCTGACTTTTGTCGTTTTACTGAAGAAGTAGTACGTTTTCTGCACGTTAGATTTATTATTAAACGTTAAAACCGACGGCTATTGGGCGCCATGTTAGCGCGTGGGGGAGGGGTACAGAATTGTGGCCGGAGCGTAAGTGTTGCTATCCTTAAGCAGGCAGGGCTCAAACTCGGGTTTCGCATTGAACTTTGAATTTTATAAGACCAATTTAAGTTAAAGAACTGGTACTATGCGCACGAGCGTTTATTATGTTATTTCTAAAAAAAAACAAACATTATTTTTATTTACTCCACCAGAACCAGAAAAATAAGAATTACCGCACACTGGTCTTTGGGTTTCTGTCAATCTCGTGACGCAATTAATGGAATTGAATTTAGCCACACTTTCAGTAGAGTTCACCCATTCATGCAGAATAGCTGATGTAAAGTAAAATATTTAATTAAAAAAGTAATAACGTAAATATTTGGAGCAAATCAGACTGTCAAACACAGCATCCATGTTTAGGATAGAGACATGGATTTCTATCCTTGATATTAAAACAAAATTGGTAAGTTCATTAATGATTTGTTTTCTTTTTAATGTGTCTTCAATTCATTCATTTGTTCTGGATGATGATAAATGGTATTGAATGAAGTGGAAGTCACAGTAAGGACTGTTCTGATCATGTTGTTTTTGTGCTTATTTTTATTTCACTGCCCTTTAATTGAAATAAAATCATTGACATTCGTTCAAAACATATACATCACAATAGGTGAGCTTTCGTCAACTTTTTTTTTTACATCTTCCAACGTTTATTGTTATGATTAATAGGAACTTGTCCAGTGTAAGGAATTTGGGTACTTGATTGAACTGAGGAGGCATTTCAGTTCATTTAGCAGAAGAGTATATATATTTTTGAATCATTGTAAGTAATGCTTTTCTGTCACACGTTTAGGTGAGCTGTATTGTTCCTGAGCACATGGCTGCAATGTCTGTTAGGATAAATTAGATGACCCAAAATGTTAGCACTAACGCTTTTATTCACTTATGTTAATGCGACAATACATATTGTTCCCAGCCCATACCTGCAGTGAACTGGAGTGAAACACATTCCAACAGTACATTAGACCATAGTAGCAAAATTGGAGAATAATGTTAATCAACTGTCATATCTGGCGGCCATCATTATTTTAGCTCTATGATGAATACGGGGATATTGAGACAACTCCACTTGTCTTAATGCTTGTTACATTGGCCCATGCCCAAGAAAACTGGGGCCTCAGAAAAGAAACAAAGCCATTATACTGGCTCTTTAGAAGTGGTTGGATCCCTACACTCTTCATTTAAACAGTGAATGTTTTTACCATAACACCACTGTGTTTAGAGGGGCCAGTTCACTCTTATTTCTGCAGCTCCTCCAGCAGCCATGAGGTTAATAGCATATCCGATGAACAAAACACTACTTTACACCTTTGCATTTCTTTCAATGAACCCAAAATTTTGAGGTCAGCACATGGCCAACCGAAGTACCTTTTTGTTGATCTAGATGGCTTAATAAAAACTAGAACGGCTGTTGATCTTCTAAAGAGGCACACTCGCTCATTGTCTTCAACATCTGACTGTGCATGTGTTAAACAGCCAAAAAGTAAAACTTTAATATAAAGGAAATATTTAGTCAGCATTCACAATGTAGCCAGATGGCATATTATTCCACCTCTTTCTGAGTGCTGAGCATGGAGGTGGAAGGTTCATGATCATGTCTTGTTTTCCAGCACCTTTTAGTTGTCGAGGTACTCACCTTCTCCTTGCTTTACAGAAGCTTGTCTGAGTTAAATGTAAGGCCATCTGTCCGAATGCTAAAGCTTAGTTGAGATTAGGTCATGCTACAGGGCAGCGTTTGTTTACCCCCATAGCACAGCCGTAAATCTACAACAGGATGGGACGGGAATAAAGATTTTACTATTGTCTCGCCACTATCCAGACTCAAACAATGCAGAAGTGGGACATGTGAATGAGCTGTGCATAAATAAATGCGTCAAAGCCTGAGTCAGTAATACTCCACGACTTTGGGGCAGTTTGAAAAGTGTTTGGGATTAATAAAGTGTAATATTTTATTGGTGACAGCATGACCTGGTAAGGACCAAATTAATGATTTTCTTTTTTGTAGTTGATGTCTTAAAGGACAAGTATTGACAAACTACGCCATAGTGCAGGACATCACAACCACACAGTGGGTTTTGTCCACCTGTTGTTCAACAACAACAGTGCACTTAAAGCAGAGCCTGAACTACAAACAAACTCTGGTTCCACTCTGGGGTAGATGTGTGCATATGAGAATTACATCTGAATTAAAGGTCTTGTTTCTCTCTGTTTTTTTATTTTGCAGGGACCTGTGTCCTGGAGTGCCTCCGTGTCGTGGATTTAAGGGAACGCCACATGGACAGTTTGAAGTCACTGTAGTGTCAAAGTGCTTACAGTGCAGGTAGTTTTTTCAAATCTACTGCAGTGAAGGCACTTTCAGCACTGTTCTGATAATGTGAGCTACGGCGGCCGGTTCATGCTGGGCAGCAATAGGCTGGATGCAGGTACAGTTGTTGGTACACATCTGGTAGGACCTTGTCATCTTGTTGTGGGGCTTAGCAACCAACCAG